AAAACGTGTGAAATCATCAATACTGTTTAATTCATAACATTAATACATCGGAATCTTGAGTTAACCGAGAGATAGAAAAAAAATATTGAAATGTCACATGAAAATTAAATTCCAGATTATAATTAACTATTATAACGATTATTATCAAATAATGTATAACATTGAAGGTTTGAAAGAATAAATTAAGGTAGTAACTTATAGGCACCTATATATTATATAGACCAGACCAATTTTAGATATTTAAGTTTTATTAAAAATAATAATGAAAACTTTATTTTTTAATACAGTTGAAATTTCCAATATTATATATTCCTAAACGCATTTGTATAAATTTAAAGAACTTTTTAAAAAAAATTGAAATACACTGTAATGTTAAAATAGATTTTCAAGTGTTCAAATATTATTGTGGAAGCTGTTTTTCTATGTGACTAAAAACAATATTTTTGGGGATTACGTTTTTTCTAATAAACAAAATTTAATTCTTTGATAGAAATATTTTTTTCTTCTACAATGAGCGTCTAGTCATTTCTTATCACCTGATTGATTTTTCATATAGTGTACAGAACTTTCTCATCAAATTTTTCGTCTTCACATTTCAAATCTGGGTATTTTTATATTCAGATTTTAATTTTTGACGTTAAGTATGAATGTGTTTTTATTTAATGTTGTATCATGATCGATTTATTCTGTTACTCCAAGTTTTATTCTATTTTGTTATAATCTTGTTTTTCTTTTACTGTATATATGATATGCTTGTATTTCATTCATCCTAAATACTCAATGCCCTTAATTGAGGCAAAATGTATTTTTCCTAAATAAAAAAAAAAAAATTTATGAGAGAGTATATTTTACTTTCAGCATTATTATTATTTATTTTTTTATGTGAGTGAAATTTCGACAAATCAATACAAATCCAGAAGAGATACTGAAGTGTAGAACGGTGAGTGAGGATTTAAACCAAAGCAATAACTATAAACTCCTTGCTAACGAAGCAGCTAATTAATTCTAGGATAGTAGTTTTTTATTATCCAATACTTTTGGCAAGTTGTAATCCAAGAATAGAATTCAATTGTATTTACTTCTTCCTTACGATTTTTGCTTCACACAGAATTATTTTCCTTCTTCATATTTTTCTATTTTGAATAATGAATATAATTTGAACAAAAAATAAAAATAAATATTAACACATTCCCTTATTTAACACATTTCTATTTATGAATCGTCTAATTTAGCATAAAAGTGCTAAAATGTGTAATTTAATGCAACAAAAATCAAAATCGAGCAACTTAAGCCAAATAAAATTTAAATATGTAATTCTACAGGTCCTGAAACGGATAGATATTCGGGTTCGGAGTTTTTTGACTAGCAAGCGAATAAAAAGTGCAATAACATGGAAATCCGGTCTAGGAGTTAACGGTTGATCTTATATCTATCGTAGATATGTAATAGCAGTAGTCCAGTCAGATTAGCACAAAAAGAAAGGTCTATCTTGCAAATGGTCTGGTAATTCAAATTTCGTTTTTATACTGTCGGTATGTAGTGTATATAAAAAATCCAAGTTTCCGCCTATGAAAGCCTTGTGTGTTCGCTGAACTTCTCCAAAAACCTTTGAAATATCGCACTTATTTTGTCATACGTTAAATATCTCCTTTTTTAAAGTGAGATAGATACAAAAAGTTTATATTCAATATTCAACTGTTCATTTAATTGTCATATTAGTTGCTCAAATGGTATAATTGTAATTTACATATATTCTGTAGTTCTTTAGTTCAGTGTGTATTATTTTATTATCAACATAAAATAAACTGAACGAAACCACAATTATGACAAATTTTTAATTTCTTTAAAAATCTATATTATACATCGCGCATTATTGCAAATTTATATTATTATTATTTTTATTTTCAATTTGTAACCACAACATATTTTCAACTTGTTCAGCTTTATATTAGCCCAATATCAATTTAAGTATTTTTCATTTTTAATATTTTCATTGTAACTTATATTGTGCTTCCTTTTCTATTTCATAATAACTATATCACAATTTAAATAAGGTTATATATAATAAAATAATCACTGTATTGTATTAAAGCAGAAAATGTCTAGATCGAAAAATAACTGCTGTCACTAGGATAAAATCAAACCCAATTAATACCATTTTCCTTACAAATTTTCAGTCTAAAATCTCTATTTTGTATTAGGAAAATGGGAGGTTACAGGAGCTCAAAACATGTGTAATCAAGTGAAAAGCTCTATAATTAGTGCTAATTATGGAGCTAATAGGGGAGCTTCTGTAATCTCTCACTCTCCTAATACTAAAATAATATATAATGTATAATATAATTTATTATGTATTATTTATAATAATATATTATTATGTATAATAATACATTATTATTATAAATAAAATATATGTATACATATATATATATATATATATATATATATATATATATATATATATATATATATATATATATATATATATATATATATATTTTATTTATAATAATATATATAAAATATATGAAAGTCACTAAAAACGTTTTTATATAGTTGAGAGATATAATTTAAAATATTATGTGTCAACAATATTATTAAATTTATTTAAATGAACTTGATCAATTGAATAATTGTATTGAATAAAAGTTTTGAAGTACGAAAACCAATGAGACGTTGAAATGATCATCTTCAGTCAGAAGACAAATAAAAATGAAATATCGACAAAGAGAAGTTTAGCCATCAACAAATGAAAAGTGCCTTAGGAAATTGATAAAAGTTTTTCCCTTTAAGATTAGAACGGAAAAAGTACATTTGTTAGGGCTGAAGGTTTTCTAAGGGTTTTGTGCATTAAAGTTGACTAATAGGAGAGGAAGGGGGAGAGAAGAGAGGTCCTAGGCTGACAGGAAATTATTTAATTTTCTAAGAGTATTGTACACCCCAGTGCATTGGTGTCGTACCAGAAGAATTGGAATTATTTCAGGATATATGCGAACTTTTTCAAACTTCTCTCTCTTTAAAGTCGCTAATCATACTATTAAAAAAAAGTAAAATAAGATTTTGTTTAAAATCTTAAAGCAATAACTGTTTTTTTTTTTTATTAATTGAGTATTAATTACATTCTGCCGCATTGTAGGGCAGAAAAAAAATAAACGCCTCCCAAGTAAATTATTAAAGCTTGAGCGTTTTTTTAGAACCCATAATAAAATACACTTTTGCACTTACACTAAGACATCTCATAAGAAATATTAAGCATAAAAACAATAAAAAAATTTACTGCTTGCCTTATTTCATGTCCCTGCATTTTTAATAATTACATTAATTGTAATTAAAAATGGACCATTTGATTAAATTATGTTAACGATTAATCAAAAAGTAAAATAAATTAATTATATAAAATGTCGTTTTAATATAATGTTATAATTGATATTGTATTACAGGGTACTCTCTCCGCTTTTATACATCATGTACATACACGATATTCCTAACAGCGCCGGAACTATTACAGCGACTTACGCAGATGGCGCAACAATTCTAACAAGACATATGAATCACACATACGCTTCACAGACTTTAAAACATTATCTAATAAAACCAGACGATTGGTGCAAACTTCGAAAAATTTAAAATTTAACTCAACCGCAACATATTACTTTTACTCTTCAACGTGAAACATGCCCTCCTATTTATCTTGGCGATGCCGAAATTCCGCAAGCAGATAAAATACAATATCTTGGACTGACATTTGACAGAAGACTGACATGGGGCCGCTGAGCATTCCTCTCTCTCAAGCCGATCAAGCCACTAACCAGCATTGTTCCCGAGATCAGACTCGCTGATTGTCAGTACTTCTGACAGGTGTGGATGAAAAAATGGAGTTGAAAAAAAAATATTGTAATAGGTTATAAAATGACGGGTTTATAATTTTTAATGTGAATTAGAGTTGTTAGATCCTTTAATTTATTATTTTGATCATTTTATATTTGAATTAAATATAAATTGTCTTTTTAAATACAGTGACCTTTGTCTATTCAACATGGAAAATAGGCGTTAATAAAGTTTGAATTATTTTTCAAGAACATTTTCCAAAGCCTCCAATTCATCGAAGAAAGGTGATGATTACTTTTTGGTATGCTTCATTTGGTTTGATACACTACAGCTTCTTACATCCTCGAGAAACCATCAATACCGAATCGTATTGTAATCACATTAACACAATGCATCAGAAATTGGCAACAAGGAAGCCATCTTTGATCAATCTCAAGGGGCCGCAAAGCTCACATGTGACTTCACAAAAACTGTTGGAGCTTGGATATGAAGCTCTGCCACATCATCCCTACTCTCCGGACCTCTCGCCCATTTATATTGATTATCATTTTTTAGAGGCCTGGACCACTACTTACACGACAAAAAATTAATGGACAAAGGGAATTAGAAAATGCGTTTTTTGAGTTTATTAATTCTAAAGATGTAAAATTCTGTTCAGAGCGAATGGAAAAGTTTCCAATACATATTGGCAGAAATGAATTGAGAGTAGCAAGGTGCCCATCCCCCACTAGATAAATGGCGCAAAAACATACCTCTCCCCAAGATATTTTATTGCTCACAGTTTTTTAAAAATAAATAAGTGGAATTAGAAAAATCTCAGATCACAAATAATTACACTTGCTGCGGTCTGTTTTTCCCCTCAACCTTAAGTTGGAAACTTTTCATTCTGAAAATTCATAATCCTGTCGAAATGTGCTCCCCTCCAAAATTCAAAAAACAGTAAAAATATGTTCCTCTCAAAATTTTGATGGCGCGAATCGCCATGAAACCCCCTCTGGGCACCTTAGGATAGTATTAAAGACAACTCATTTTGAAACCAAAAGTGTGCATTATTTTCCGCACAACTTAAGTTTCTATGGCAAACATTTTTTCTGTTAAATGATACAATTTCTTACTCTTTCAAATTCACCGAAGTAAGGCAACGAGTGTTCAAAAAGTCTGTTAGTTTCTGTTTATATTCTGCTTTTGTTTAACGTATCAAATGGCTTCGAACTTGACAGGGATGTTTTTGCTCGCTTGCTTTGATCAAGGTGCCTCTTATTGCTTGTCCCCGGCCAGTGCTGACTTAGCACCTCGGCCAGTTTCCTATTTGGACCCATGCCCGATAAATGTGTTACTGCTACTAAAAAAAAAAAATTTATAAACTAAAAAAAAAAAGTACTTTCTGTAAAGATATTAGTCAAAATTAGGGCTGGATAATGATAAATAATTTAATTGTATCTTTAGGTTATATTATTTTTTATTGTACATTGTTTTTGACTATTATTTTACTTTTGTTAATTTTATATTTTCTGTGTAATTATCGTCCACGTGACAGATTATTATATTTCTAAATAAACAAATAAAAAAAATTAAAATAAATTTTAATTTTAAATACATTCAGAATGTTATTTATTCTTAATGGTTTAGATGTTACATAAAGGTTAATCCTTATTGCTGAAAATTTCAGAAAACAAAGGTGATATACCTGTTACTTTAGCATTATTAAAATTTCATATTAAATTTGTATAAAAACGCGAACAAATAATATAAATTCATATTTTTTAATTTCGACGAATATGAGAATTTGTACTGGTCCGTTGATTAGATAAGTTTCAAAACTAAATAACATTTATTTCAATTTTATTATCGGTTTATGAGATACGAATAAAACAGAAAATAAAATGTGGCAAATAAGTCAGTTACGAGGTTATCATGAGAGGTCATCGATATGTTTTATTACTAGCATCATCTAATATTCTATATCAAAACATTTTTTTTTCAGGCTTTTTAACAATTTAGTATTTATTTGATCGCACCCCACACTCCCTCGACCAACCCCTTCTCATATTTATTCTTGTTTTATTTCTTAGATCTTTATTTATTTATTTTTTTTATTTTTAAATTGAAATAGCATCCAAGTAAATGAATATAAATCCAAACACACCACTTTCACCCTTCGGCGCAAGTCGTGTCCACCAGTTTATTTCAACTCCATACCACTTCCCCTCTCCGACACAGTTCGGTACCTTGGCTTCCTTTTAGACAAAGGCTAACATGGAACCCACATACCAGACTTAAAAGACAACAGCTTAACCGACGATATGGCCAACTATATAGGTTTTATGGACTACTCAATAAAAAATCTCAACTTTCAGTTGAGAACAAACTATTAATCTACAAGACAATCCTGAAACCTATCTGGACCTACGGACTCGAACTGTGGGGGACAGCAAAACTTTCCAACATCAAACGCATTCAATCCTTTCAGTCTAAAGTTTTCCAAACAATAGTCGATGCTCCCTTTTATGTAACCAATAAAACACTACACAATGACCTTAATATCCCATTTGTACTTGACCTAATCCCAGAAATTTTTTCCAGATTTCACCAGAATCTCACTCATCATCCTAATCCTATAGCACAGTCTCTATCTACCTCCAGTCATCCCTACAATCCTCCTCGGAGGTTAAAACGGCAGTGGCCCCGCGACCTTTTGTAAAAATGTATATATTGGAGTACTGGCGGCACTGGCCAGATTCTTCACTCATGTCCTGAGCGTATGTTGCTCTAGTGCCCTCCATCAGTCTCCACTGGCTTACTAAACCAGTGATACGGCTGGGAGAGAAGCACTGGGATCTCCTGGAGTCGTGCTTTGGCTTCCGCAGTTGGGGGACAAAGCTTGATTCGGAGTCCCCTGGGCCAATGTAAATATTGTACATAGGTGTGAATGTGTTTTATTTGTTTTGTTATTTTTCAGCTGATCTTTTGTTTTAATTATCTTGTATATTACTTTATCTTTATACATATATATATATATATATATATATATATATATATATATATATATATATATATATATATATATATATATATATTTTTTATATATTTTTTTTTTCCTTTCTTATGTACATATTGTGTGAATGAATACTATAGCCCTAGTACCAATGCCCTTCAGTGTGGCAGACTGTATTAATACTCAATAAAAGTAAACAAAAAAATAAAAATAAATTGAAATAAAAATAAATACCTTATTTATCTATAGTTATATTATCCGAATATATTTTTCAAGAGTTTTCCTGTTTCTTTAACCATATTTAAAATTTAATATTTTTAATTCTCAAATAAAATAGAATCGTTTCATTTTTATATTTTCTTGTCATGTCATGTGTGTGTATTAAATTTCATTAAATATGTCTGTTTCTGAATCACTCAAAATTCCAGTTTAAAAAACTGTTAGTACTGTAGAGAACTTGAACATTTTTGATATTAATGTTATACAAACAATATTAATTAACCATGGCTTAACGTTGACGAATTGAGGAAATTAGAAGTTAGTGAAAATATAATAATAAAAACGATACTACTCTCCGGGTCTTGGAATGAATTATGTCACATAAAAGATGTTTTAATGATTCTCTGCATTTAGAGTCATCACTAGCATTTATGACTGTGTCGTTTTCATGACGGAATTATAAGTTTTAGTGCGCCCCAGTTTTCGCTTTAATATTTTTGATTCTCATTTATGTTCCGACGAGGGATATACAGTTCCGACTCAATTTGAAGCAGTAACGGCTTTGAAACAAAACACATATCCATTTTAGCGGAACACATCCGCTATGCGTGAAGGTCTTGGTCCGGTGGGTTGCTGGGCAAGCTGAACTCCTGACCGCTCTCAGGGTCGTTACCGTTTCCATAACTATATAGTATGTATATGAAACTTATAGTTTATATATATATTTTTATAGATAAAGTATAAACATAAAGAAAAAAAGAAGAACGGGTTAAAACAACTATGCCATCGAAAATTTTGGTTTAAATAATTAATTAGGCATCCTAATATGTTCAAAAACGAATTCTTAACATCACAATTCACATAGAATTTCTTATTTTCCATTGAATCGAATTTTTAAAAAAACCAACTATCTTCTAAAGCTGTTTCACACATATATACAATATTTACATTTGCCCAAGAGACTCCGAGCCAGGCTTTGTCCTCCACATGTGGAAGGCAAAGTTTGGCTCCAGGAGGTCCCAGCACTTTTTTCCAGCCGTGCTAACATCCAGACATTGTGTGGAGAAGCTGGCCATTTCCAGAACTCCATTAACATATTTACGAAAATTCTCGAGGCCACTGCCGTTTCAACCTCCAAGGAGGGTTATAGGGGTTGTTTGAACTAGATAGGGATGAGCTAGAGGCTCATGGTGAATAAGATTCTGGTGAAAGTTTGAGAATCTTGATGGGATGATGTCGAGGACAAACGGGATGTTAAGGTGTAAGGTCTTGTTTGTGACATAATATGGGACTTTGGCTATTACTTTAGACTGGAAGGATTGGATGCGGTTGATATTCGAATGTTTAGCAGTTCCCTACAGTTCAAGTCCGTATGTCCATATAGGTTTCAGTATTGTCTTGTAGATTAATAGTTTATTTTCAATCGGAAGATGAGATGTCCTGCTTAGTAGTCTGTATAGCTTGGCGAAATTTCGTAAATCGGATCAAGGACATATGGGAGGTTAAGATTGTGGTGCAAGGTCTTGTTTGTAACATAAAATGAAGCGTTAACTATACTCATAGGACTTTGGACTGGAAGAATTGAATACGTTTGTAAAAAAGATAACATAGAATTGTTCAAATAAATGGGGTGTCTATCCAACATAGTTAAGGTGGCCGCATGCGCAATATAATTATCCTACTTCTAAACTCGTATGATGCAACATAAAAAAATAAAGGTTAATCCCTTATTGCTTGAAATTTCTGAAAACAAATGTGATATTCCTGTTACTTTGGCATTATTCAAATTTTATACAAAAACGCGACAAATAATATAAATTCTTTTTTTTTTTATATTGAAGAAGGTGAGAATGTGTCCTGCTTTGTTGATTGAAATAAGTTGCAAAACTAAACAAATTATATTTCCACAATTTTGTATTTGTTTTTAACAAACAAGGGTTTAGGAGATAAGAGGGTTCGAATAAAACAAAAAATAAAATAAGTTGCAAATAGTCAGTTACGAGGTTATCATGAGAGGTCATCGATATGTTTGATTACTAGAATCATCTAATATTCTATATCAAAACATTTTGTTGCAGGTTATAGCGTGATAATCACGCATGAATCTAGATATTGTTACAAGGTAGCGTGTCCTTATGCTTAATTGTCCTAATCATAATCAATCATATTTAATATTGCATCTAAGTAGATAATCTTTTGCCATTAGTTATTTTTAAACGTTGAGATTATGGCTGAAGTGATCTATATTGTTCTACATCCTGCTGGTTGTTGGAACCAAACAATTCACCGTAATAATCGTCATGGTTTAAATTTAACTTTTCCCGAACTGCAATATATTATTAAAAATAATTGGCATTCTTTTGGTGTTGCAAATTGTTTATATTTATTCGATATTGTAGAAGATGCAATTGTTCGGTTTTTAAATATATTTTTCAGCAAAATTTAAATGTATAAATAAATAATCAAATGTTATATTCAGTAACGCTGATTTAATTTAAAAAACTGAAATTTTTGGCCATATTCATCGCATAATCTAAATTATAATTGGCATACCCATTCACAAAATCAAGAGTATACCAGAAAGTACTACAATTTATAATTGTTAAAGTAGTCAGGAACAAACAACTAAAAATTATTCATATTAATTGATATGAAATATGAATAGGATCACGCCTAATCTATTAATGGGTCAGTGGAATAATTCATTTATCAGGTATGTGAAAATGCATCTGATAGAGTAATTTTTAATCAAATTCTAATAACCTTAAAAAAAATGAAAAAATAGGACGAAATAATTCGTTGTTAATATATAATGAACATGCAAGGATCTATAAAATAATTTTATTTTATTTACAAAATTTATTGTAAATAATAATTGCTGTATCTATAATTATAATAATAATATTATAATAATTGCGGTATCTATAATTATAATAATAATACTTATGTTGTAGAGAATTCTTGATGATTGAGAAAACCCCTGAAACTTTACTTTGATACATTTTTTAAAGAAATAAAAAACGCCCGTGAAAATAAGAGTAATATTAACAATATAAAATTGACTATATTTTTATTTATTAAAACAATCGGATATTTATGTATCATTAAATTACTAAAAGATTGTTGAATTTTTTTTTTCTTTATTCCCAAATTGAAGTTCAAGCTATTATTTTCATAATTGAAATAAAAATATGTATATTTACAAAAACATTTACTTATTTATTTTAAATATTCTAAAATTCAGTTATTTTTTTGTTTTTTTATGACTTTGGTTTAATGATTCTAAAGCAGTTTATAGTTTCCCTTATTTTTAAAAAATGACCGGCATATGGGTGTATGAAATCTCTAATTGGCTGCAATTTTGAAAAAAAAAAAAAATGTTGATAATGTTGAGTTCCAATAATCATCGTGGGATGATCTTTCGCCTTAGTGCTCCATCTAACAATGATCAATCCATTCTTGGATAAGAACTACAGTCGGTAGACGGCTCTGTACTTGATATTTTATTTTTGGTGTAGTTTTAATTGCAGTACAGGCACATGATAAGGAAACATGTGAGAACAATAAATGAATATATATATATATATATATATATATATTGCATATCCTTGTATAGTGCATATTGTAATAGATGGAAAATAAAATGGAGGATAAGAAAATATATATAAATACTTATAAGTAGGATCTTCTTAATTCGGTAATTTATTTTGTGCATTTAAAATACTAAAAAATTCTTTTTTTTTGCATTTCGTATTAAAAAAAAAATAGGATCAACACATGTGTTAGTATTAATAATAATATTAATGTATTAATTAATTTAAAATGCTAAATTCCAAAAATATATTTTATTTTGTATTTTTAAATAGTTTATTTGAAATACTACTCAGGTTTGATCCGGTTACTTCAATTACAGCTTTTGAAAGCATTTTTTTTTCTGCGCCTCACGTATTAATTACATCTTAAACTTTATTCATTTTACCTCAATTATAACAGTTGTCGAATCGTTTAAAATGGCGACCAGTATTTAGCGAAGTTTCTTCATCACAAGCTCTCAAATTTTATTATATTGTACAATCAAATACTATGTTAAAAGAATAATTTAACACATTATTGCCATTTCAATTTAATTTTCTCAACTCCCAATTTAAGGTAATATCTTAACTCGGTAAAAGAAACCAAGCAACATCTGAGAACAAATTCACAGGTTTTTTTGGGATATATTTTAGTAAATTACTTTTGAAGCTATAAAGTTACTTTATTTTAGTGCATGTAGAAATAAACAAGTTAATTGGTCAAATTATGAATTGATAATTTGATGAATGAATCACTTAAATAATAGGCAGATATACTTATCAAATAAAAAAAAAATATTATTGAAAAAAAAAAATTATATTGAAAAAAAAAATTGTGATGCTAAGCTTAAATGAAAGATAAGAGAATAGTTGAACAAAACATATGCCATCAAATAAGTAGTTGCTTAGAGGCCTGTATTTATCGTTTGGAAGCGCTAATATCAAAATAATTCATGATTATCTTCTGATTAAACGTCCATCTTTTATATCATTACGTCCGATGTCATTCGAATTTCGAATATTTCACCATTAATTTTTTCCACCTAGATTGATCATTTGTCTCACTGTGCGCTTGTAGGATTTTCTCATTCGATTTTTGGATTATAGGTATCTATTAAACACTTCTTCTTTTTTCCCTGGCTCTTGTGATTTTCAGGATGGAGCGCTAATAAATGCATAAGTTTCATTATAGAAATCTAAATGAATGATAGCAATTTCAAATTCATCTCAATATTGAAAATTAACATTACTTTGTCCAATTAATCTAAAATTCCTTTTAAATAGATATGGATGTTTAGGCTACTTCGCGGACGTGATATTTCCTCAAAGGACCGCCATATTTGCCACTCGGGTGACCCGGGATCCGTGAGAGCTGAGCGGAGAGATATATGGCAACTCTGACGTTTTTCCGGTCTCTGATTAGTCCGCTTCCGGTTGACCCATGTTCCCACCTGCTCCATCCAAATAACGAACCCCGCCTCCCATTATCTAATACATTTGCTTCTAAAATAATCATTTACTTTTAATTTTGTTGTTGCAGTTTGTTTTGAGAATTATATTCTGTTATGGTTATTAGTCGGTGTATATGTAAATTAGCAACAAATCTAATCTGATGATACCATCTCTATTCAAAAACAAATTTTCCGCGTTGCTAGATGAGGAAATCGTCATTTCGTTATCCACATCGTCTAATTAAACTAATTATCTCTGACCTTTGGTTTTACATTTTTAGAACGAATTTCAATATATTTTCCTCTTTCAGCTGTATAAATAAAGCCGACCTATTTCACTTTATAACGTTGGAGAAAATCAGAACGAAAAACTAGGTTGTTTTCGTAAAGTTCACATTATAGCGTTAAATAAAATCAAATCATAAAGTTCAAAGATACGCTTCCTATTGAAGCACAAATCCCATTTCCTGAAATAATGGAAAAACATAAAAAATGTAACGTTATATATACTGATGCTTCAGTATAGAACAATTCACGGATTACAAAAACGGACTAACAAAGATGCTAATAGATATCAAGAATTTAATAACAGATAGAAGCATCAAAATATGAACCACAAAAATACTAAAGATACTACAGATAAAAGAGACATCATATAGACATATTTTATAGTAAAATATAAAAATTAAGAAAACCGCCAATGACCCTCTAGGGTAGAGGCGAATACAAAAAAAAAAAAAAAAAAAAAAAAAAAAGTAAACAACGAAATAGGGTGCGCTCTTGTCAACTCTCAAATAGAAAACTATTTCAAACTGATTTGAAAAATATCTGCTCTGTGTTTAGTGGAGATATTATTGAAATTATAGAAGGTTTAACGTTCATTGAGACAACGGAGAGTAACAAATGGATGCAAAGACACTGGCGAGATCTATTAAAATTATCTGGTGGAAATTAACAGAAAAGGGAAAGGAAATCATATTCATTTGGGTCCCTTCACACTGCGAAATTGTCGGAAATGAACAGGCAGACAAAGAATCAAATATGGCAAGAAGGCGATAACAGTTATTATTAACAAATCCCGATAGAAGATTTTATACAGCACATAAACAATAAATTGCCGGTAATGTTGCAGAACGTATGGCAACAAAAAGACACCAAATTAAAAGAAATAAAAAACCACAGTTCCAAATGGAAAACTAGTAACCGATTCTCTAGGAAAGAAGAAACAGCCCTCTGCCGCTTAAGAATTGGGCATTGTGAATCCTCACATGGCTATTTACTAAGAGGACTAGACCCACCGACTTGCGAGAGCTGTAAGGATCATAGAACGGTCCAACATATCATTCAAGACTGCCCAGTATTTAAGAATAAAAGGAAAAATTTGGACATGGCTCAGAGTCTAAAAATAACCTCACTGACAACGAAAAAACCCTGAAAAAAACCTTGCAATTTTTAAAAATTCTAAAACCGAGTATGAATAAGAAGTGTCGTCAATGACCCTACAGGGTAGAGGCAACAATAAAAACGAATAAATAAATAAATCATAGCAATGTTACAATTAAATTTTTAGGTTGAAATTACATGAAAGATACAAATAGGAGAAAACAAGAAAAAAGAACTATAGAGAAAATAGAAGGAAGAGGAAAATGGAGATCTAAAATGATCTTGAATGATCATTAAAAAGGAAAAACACATTGTTATGAGAAAAATGGACCTCGTCGTGAAGCGGAAGTACGTTTTCATTGGCCGATTTCAGAGAAAGATGTTAAGACTTAACCAATAATACTTTTAAGTATATCTCTACTTACTACTTTTCAACTATAAATAGAATAGGATTAAGCCCGAATTTGTCTATAGCCCTTAATGACAATGAATCTTCTGTTCCACTGGTATTCGAATTTTTAAAAACACATCACTTTCTTTCTAAATTATAACACTTTTGCCGTATTATTAAGAAGAAAAAAACCCTACCATTTTTACTAATAATTTCATTTTGGTCAGTAATGTTTATAAAATTTGTATATAGTTTTTTTTTTTTTTTTTATATAGCTGAAATAAACGGCAGACAATTATGACCTAGGGGTTTACGACTTTAAAATACCCCACACAATTCACTAGTAATTAAATTAATTGAAATTGCAGAAGAGGAGTTAGTACATTTTTTGAAGAAATAGAGTTTAGTTGATGTCTGAGCAGGGAATTTTTCAATCTATTTGGTGGTGAGGAGGTGTACTCCTAAATTTTATTCCAGTAAAAATAGATAAAATAATGGTTAGTTTATTGATTATTATTGAAATAGATTTTTCATTGAAAACATCAAAAAATATTTAATGCAAATAAATGTATTGAATATTTCATTTGTTCTTATTCAACTTAATTCGATTATTATTCAAGGTTAATTAACCTAAATAATTAAATATTAATTAATTCTAGAGCTAGAATAATGATTATCGCTCGCAAAATATCAGAGGCCGCAGATTCCCTCGTTAATGGTTAAAGTTTACTTATTTTAAAAATTGATATATTAATCCCCACTAATATTTTATTATTGAAGAACTAATTGTCCATTTAAATGTATGTTGTTTTTAAGTAAATATTATTGTTGAATATCTTAATGATATATTTTAATTTTGATTTTGCAGGTAAGTTTTATATTCTGCTACAGCTCTAATCTACTCACGCTAAGTTCTCTTCACATATTTTTTCCTGGCCATCACAAAAGTAAGTTTTTTTTATTTTATTGAGCTATTCTTTAATATGTTCAGTAAATGCTGTCTTGATACATTTAGATTTTAATTTGAATTATTAATGCTAAGCAAGAGAATATTTAATTTTGTTGGTGTAGGTTATTTTCTTTTTTAATCTTCTTCAGGTCGAGTTTTAGTTTTTACTTGTTCATGATGTAATTTTAAAATATCAACGATAACTAACACATAATAATTAGATAAATATAACTATAACTATTCTACTATAGATATTCTACTATAACTATTCTTGCGACTACAACGAAAAATGTTTTTTCATCCAAAAGTAATAATTTATCAGTATCCATAGGCATTGGGGCATCGACTGCCATGGAGGGTGCCGTAAAACCTGAATTGAATACAATAATTTACGTATCAAAAATAAAAAGTAAAAAATGTATAAACTCCTTATTATTCTAAAAACCGATTGTTTTTGTGGACAAACACGCAGCGATAATAATCTTAATTATTTATTCTTGATGTTTCTATTCATACAGTTCATCATATAGACTACCACTTATCCTCATGTAGTTTATTCAGCTCTCCATTACCCTAACCATTTCCTCTCCTCATTGATTCATAATGCAATGTGTCGTGGCACCTGTGCAGTATTTGATAATTGTAGTTTTTCATAGTTGATGCTTAATACTTAACATTACTTGAAAAAATATTAACAGCTTATGGATGGACTAAACAATTGGATTATTTTCAATTATTGATAATGTAAGAACTTGAATGTTAAATTCAAATAAATTTGAGGAAAATCAGACCCAAAGAGTAGGCTAATTTCACATAACAAAAATAAATAGTTTTTATTACATAAATTGTATATTATCATTAATTTTTTGCCCGACTTTAAAATCTGGTAATAAATATTTAATGATTAGTATTTACAGAGAGAAATATCTTAAACATAGCTGAATTTTTTTTTTTTTTTTAGGAAAATACTGTGAATAGATACTGAATTCTTTTCACTAACAGTTTTAACAATTATCACTTAATAAAAATATGAAATTTATAGATTCCTTCAAGATTTTTTATACTCATGTATCAGTTCTAATATTTTTATTTTATTTTAAAAAGATAAAAAAAAAATAAGGTAAATGATCGATGGTTGCTTGGTAGGTCTAGAAGGAATGAAAACTTTAAACCTTGGAAGTTCACTTCGGTCAATAATCAACATTTGTAATGAAATTCACATATTTATAATATTCTATTAATGGATATATAGCCTATTGTAATTAAGAATTATATAATAATAAGTAAATTTAAAATGTATCAATAGCTATTTGTTTTCCCTTTCCAAAAGTTATGTATTTTCCCATAGTAAATTAATTAATATTGATGATACACCTATCAAATGGTAATTTAATACGATATTTATCTATAATATGAATATTTTAACATTCAAATTTTTCAGAAAAAAAAAATGCTGAACATAAGATTGAAGGAAGCTAGTCGACTTTTCTAGATATAATGGGTGATAAATTGTCAGGACGCAGTCGTATTAATATTTTTATTATTGCCGACGTTTCAACCTAAGCATGTGGGTCCTCATCAGGACATGCTACCAGCACTGGAGGTGTTCAAGTCAACACTCACTGCATCCTGACTATTTATTACCCATAAATCCAAATAACTAAAATGTGTCCTTCAGAAACTCACAGGAAGATCATTCATTTATTAGCAGCTACAATGTTACGAACCTTAATCGATGTACGTAATCGGGTTCATTCAGCCTTGAGATTTTAAATGAGTAGCTTAAAAAAAAAGAAGTTAGATTGAAAACCGAATAAAAGATTAGGAGGAATCACGGATGGCTAACTACCCTACACACTCCGACGCACTAACATCCTGGTCGAGTCATAGCTCTTCTTATCTTTCTTGATATGTTGTTTCTCCGCCTAATATTGTACGGTGTGATAATGTTGGCCAAATATCTTGCGCAAGAGACTATATATTGAAAATATTAATGCTCAGTATCTTTTCACAATAGAAAGAATTATTTATAACCGGTACATGAGTATAAAATATCTACAAAGGAATCGATTAATTCCATAATGAGTACTTTTATTATACCATAATTTGAATACCTGTTATTTTTGGTTTGTCAACCATAAAATAGTTTTGAAGGTTGGAAATTTAATTTAGTTTCTATGTAAAAATTGGTCTTACTTATATAGATAACTAGCTTTCAAAAATTATTATTTTTGCGTTTTTATAAAATATTATTCCAAAGGTCACCAGATGTACACTGTTTTTACA